CTCCGGTTTCGCTGTCTACACGATAACACTGCAACCGGAGTTTTTGAAAATCTTCACCCTGGCAGGCGTTTTCAAAAATGTTCGGTTTCAGTGACCTGGTGCTGCGTTTATGTGTGGACGAACGGCCAAACCACGTAGAAAAAGCTGCGGTTTTAAAAATAACCGCGTTCGTGTGGACAGGGCCTTAATTCGACATTACAAGACTTGTTCTCCAGGCTGAGAAACCATAATTTATTTTTTGGAAAGAAAAGTTAGTTCTTAGAGTGATTTTGTAATTAGAGTCATTTAGTTTAGACATTTTCATGTCCACTTTTTTATTAGGAATTGTGTATAAAATTATAGTAACAGGGTTGACGGTAACCGGATAGACAGTTTTAAAAGTTAAATTGACATTATAAGCCTTGTTGTCAAGGTGTAAAACTATAAAGTACTTTTTTAAAGGGAATTCAATGCCGATATTTTAATGTTCATGTAGCAAAGTTCGTAGATATGGGAAGGAGGCAGGTACCGGCGAACACTTTAATAATAAAATAAACAAACACAAAATGAAAGTAAAGCAGCAGCCCGGAGAACACAAAATAAAGTCCAGGCCTTGGTCGTCACTCCTCCTTTTATCCTTCCGGAGCTCCTCCGTGGGACTCGAGACCGGTGAGTGGTGCAGGTGTTGCTCATTACCATTAAACTCCACCGGCCTCGCTCCGTTCCCACGGCTCTCGGCCCCACCCCACTCATTACAGTTCACTTTTTTATTATTAGTTGTGTACTATACAAAATTATTGTAACAGTTGACGGTAACAGGGTGGACATTTTAAAACTTTAAATTGCCATTACAAGTATTATTCTCAAGGTGTGAAACTATTAAGTACTTTTTGAAAAGAGAATTTAATGATGATATTTTGACTTTTTATTATCAGTTGTTTACTTTACAAAATTATGGTTACAGGGTTGACGGTAACAGGGTGGACAGTTTTAAACTTTAAATTGACAATACAAGCCTTGTTCTCATGGTGTGAAACTTTTTGTAATTTTATGTGAACTTTTGGAAAGAGAATTTAATGCTGATATTTGAATGTTCACTTTTATACTGTCAACTGTTTACTTTACAGAGTTATGATAACATGGATGGACCATTGAAATGGACATTACAAGTCTTATTCTCAAAGTGTGAAACTATTATTAAGTACTTTTTGGAAAGAGAATTTAATGCTTATATTTTAATGTTCACTTTAATATTATCAGCTGTATACTAAATTTGTTTGTAAATTATGGTAAAAAGGTTGATGGTAACAGGGTGGACAGTTTTACAATTTTAATTGACTTGCAAGCCTTGTTCTCACAAAAGTAAGGTAACAGGGTTGACAAGTAAGATTGTCCCCCACTAAGAATCAAAAAAAAAAAAAGATGACTGAATTGTCCTTGAAAACTTCACTTCCTGAAAAAATGGCATTGCCATTAAGACGAAAGCGTATTGACATTAGTTTTAATTAAAATGAGCATATTTGCTATTTATGCTAAGAGAAGGACAAATGCATCCATATAATAAAAAATCAGACAAGAGTGTTTAGAAAACACACAAGAGGATTCTTTGATGTTCATTGTTTTGCAGAATGAGAAAACGCTCACATTTCTTTGAGTCACATGTAAAAATCTAGTCATTTTTGAAGGAAAACCCTGCTGTGTTGTTGTCAAAACTGAAGCAGCGAGCACAAAGGAAAAGCATTATGTTTCCGATGGCTCTTTGAGGGCACATCTAATGCCAGAATCTTCTCACCTCACCGCACTGAAGAAGAGCATGATGGGAGACTTGCTGCCAATCTCATCATATTAACAGCTCTCAAAACTGCCCGGGTCAGCAGTACCGCAGAGAAAACCAGAGAAAATGATTAGGACAATATTGCGAATGTGACATTTCAGACGGACGGAGATGGCTGGAGGCTAGATGAGCTGTGATTGGCCATCCTCTCGCTGTAATTAGTGATTTGAAGTTGGAGAACAGGTTTAAAGTAAGTATTGACGTCTCTCTCACCCTTTCCCTCTCTCTCTCTCTGGTTGTAGAAAGTATGAAGCAGAGCTCACAGGCATTGACGCAACTGCAGCAAAATGATCATAAAGAGGAAATTAGCTGCAGGACACACACACACACAATACATTACGGCTACTTAGAAAAGTACTTCCGCAGCGGCAATACACTTACATTATGATGAATCACAAACTATTCTACAAACTATTCAACTAATATATTTGTTTTCGAAGAAACGTACGCACAAACAATGGTCTGGGCCGAATCGAATTAGAAAAAGAGCAAAACAAACACCAATCTCTTTCAATTTCTAGCTGCCGTATGGGCTATTACACCCTTGCAGCACCTCATGATGTCATCTTATTTATGGATGTCATTAGGGGAAGGGGAGGGAAAAGGTTGCTATTTAAAAAAGATTAAGAGCAGGGACAGAGATGAATGTTTGCGGCTCTAGCTCACAGGCATTGACGCAACTGCAGCAAAATGATCATAAAGAGGAAATTAGCTGCAGGACACACACACACACACACAATACACTACGGCTACTTAGAAAAGTACTTCCGCAGCAGCAATACACTTACACTGTGGCAAATCACAAACTATTCTAGAAACTATTCAACTAAAATATTTGTTTTCGAAGAAACGTGTGCACAAACATAGGTCTGGACCGAATTAGAAAAAGAGCAAAACAAACACCAATCTCTTTCAATTTCTAACTGTCGTATGGGCTATTACACCCTTGCAGCACCTCATGTTGTCATCTTATTTACGGATGTCATTAGGAGAAGGGGAGGGAAAAGGTTGCTATTTAAAAAAAGATTAAGAGCAGGGACAGAGATGAATGTTTGCGGCTCTTTTTACGCACTGCAGGTTCTCGTTGTCTCATTTAACACACACACACACACACACACATGCGGTCTGTTCCAGTAGAGGGGACTTGGGACATTCGGACCGCTGTGCCCGCAGGTGAACTTCTCATCCTCTTTAAAAATTAATTATTGCTGTCACAGGGTGAGGAAACAGGCAAAGGGCAACCCGAGCACAGCCTCTGCAGTCCACAAGAACAGACCTGTTCAGGAATAGCCGTGCCGTATGAACTGCATTCAGAGAAAATCACGTGGCTCGTTCTGTGGTTTGTGAAAGTGTTTGTGAATGGGCGACGGAAGAAAGAGATGATGAGTTTGAAGAGCCTGTCAAACACGGTCCAATGTGAAATGCAGCCTAATGCTGGAGTGTTCAAAACCGAGCCATTAGGCATCGTTGACCCTTCCCTCTTTTGTCAATAGATGAATGCTGTGCTACCAACGGCCCCGCGCAATAACATTAGCATTCTCTCCTGTCAAAGCCATTAGCTTTGACAATGATTGCAAAGACTGACAAATACAACTGAACAAATGAATGACGGAACACAGCAACTTCTTAAAATCTTCATGTTGGATCAACAGCTTGAATGAATGAATGAATCAATTAATCAATCAATCAATAAGCATCCATGAAAAATAATAGACTTTTAGATACATTAAATAATGTAATTCAATTTGAATGTACTTTATTTTGGCAATTTAAGTTAAATTTATGATATTTTTGCAATCATTGTATTTCAAATAAATAAATAAATAAAACGCACTCATCTGCACAACTTCCCTTCACCTAGAAAAATTATGTAATTATGCCAAATATATTTTCTCTGAAAACACACCTAAATTTCACTTCTCAATTTAATGTATCTTTTTCTAGAGGAAAAAAAAGAGCTAAAAGTACTGACTTAGAATAGGACCTTTAGCACTGAACAACACATTTAATAAATAATTTTCTGTATTTTTTATCCTCATGCTTCCGGAGTGTCTATACACCCACCATAGCTATGTGATCACCTAAAATCTATTATTAAAATAATAATAAATAAATAAGTTAAGTTATAACTCAAAACAAGATTTTGAGTAAAGATTACATTAACAAGATTTAATATACACTCTGAAAAAAAAAACATCATAATACAGTACCTTGATTTTGTTCTCAAGTGATATTTTTTCTTATTTTAGAGTTTTTAAAAAGACCTTTACTGAAAATAAATAAACAAATAAACAGCTAAGCATACTGATTTATAATAGAACGTTTCACAGTAAATAAAACTATTATTTTTATTATTTTAGTCTTGTGCTACTGGAATGCTTGTTCGGTTATGGGTTTTGGCTTTAAGCATTTCTGTATCTGACATGTTGGATTTCTTACTTTGGCTGTGTGAACTCGTCCACCAGCGTGACCTTCTCCACCAGGTCTCCGCCGATGCTGCGCACCAGGTCGTAGAAGTCGTTTTCTGTGTAACCTTCGGCCGGCAGCCAAAAAGAGATGTCATTGAAGAGTGGTGGGTACTTACTGAGAGGCTGCGAAAAAGAGAGAAGAAGAAATCCATTTGTTAGGAATACAATACATAAAAAAACAATACATGCAAGGAATATATGCATCCATTCTTACTTGCATGTATTGTATTCAAAAACCTCACTATTTTCAGCACTCACACTTACACTTACACACACACACACACACACACACACACACACACACACACAGGAGAATGCTGGTGTGAGTGAGGCGTCTCTTCAGCCGGAGGTTAAATCTACAGTCACACCCTGAGGCCACCATACCTACAAGGGCTAGTATCCTTATAACAGCAGGCATCTGAGTCGGCCTGGCTCACAGAAAACCTCGAACACTCATAAAACACCGGCAGTTGTCTTCCACAAGAGCAGCAAAAACAGAAAAGCCGAATGAAATAAAGCTGTATGGAGGAGTGTGGTAAAAGATCTCAAACCAACCTCCTTTCTGCAGGTAAATGTGTGTTTACATCATTATTATTCAGCAGTTCTGCTCCTCTGATCTGATTTGCAGAGCGGCGTTCCAAGAGTATGAAGCAAAAACTTACAATATGTACAGTATAAAAACATATAATTGAACATTTGCATAGAGTAAAGGCAAAGCTTGCAGTCTTTTTGGCTAGCAAAAGTGGTATGCCAATTTAATATGCTGAACCTTAGCTAAATAATAAATACATTAAAAAAAAAATTATAATTTCACAATCAATAGCATAATATATTGTATTTAATATATAACATAATTTGGTTTGGGGTTGTTCTGGGATGGACTCAGTTCAGTGGGCATATCAAACTGTTCATGACACAGTCATTTTATAACCACAGAAAGCCACTCAAAGCCGTGTGCCATATTGATTTTACAAGTTAAGGGGATTTTTTTTTCTTCTGTTGAAAAAGCATTTGAATCCATCCTAAGGTGGTTTGCTGCTCTTAGAAAGCCACCAAGCTGATTTTCATTGGTCAGGCTGGTCTGGTTTGCTGGTTTTAGAAGGATTTTGGGAACTTGTCAGCTGATCAGGGGTGTGTTTCCCGTACAACGCCATATGCACTGTAGGAGAAATTAACTAGCTAGTCATAACTGAAACTCTAGTAACTTCCATCATTTGAACCATGTTGGTTCAACAGTGTACAACTGCTGATATGTCATGCAGGTGAAATAACTTCTGCTATTTAACTGGTTCAGGATCAAATTATTGCTGCGAATAATGAACATTGCATCTGAGGTTAGCGTTGCTATGTTCAAATCAATCGCCGGATATATATTTTTTGCTCAAGAGCATGATCTGTCCACTTGTGATTTTAACAGACTATGCTTCTAGGTCAAGAGCTGTTGTTCCAATCACACAACTTTATACATTTTCATTGAAACTTTGGTTTCGGGAAACACTAAACCACTTAAAAATGTTGATAACGATGGAACTTGTGACCATAGCTGGTAGTGATGCACCCACATTTTGTCAACCAAAGATATTCGGCCGATTCAGCAAAATAAAATGAATTTTGTTTTTGGCTGAAATAGTTTTAGAGGGCCGAAATCATGGATTGACACAGTGACATTTAATTAGCACTGCTCTGATGGTGTTTTGACTGTGTCAGGGTCTATTTTGTAGATAAACTACCACAGGTAAACATGTAAGCTGTGTGGACTCTAGAACTGGGTTGACAATATAAATTTCTCACTTTTAATCAATCTTGATGAAAATCTCATTTTGACAAACCAATATTGATTCTTTAATTGAAAGAACGATTATTTAGTTTATGGTGTTTTTAATTGACTTGAACAATTAAACAAAACTTCACTAAACACTACTTCTTGTTCACCTGCCTCCTATTGAATGATCTCAATAAGCTTTGTGACTTCTGATATGAGACAAAGTCTCATTGTTCAAATTCTATTTTATTTTGATATTCAAACAATAAATGTCATTTAGATTTTTTTTTGTGATCATTTGATCTTTAATATGGCGTGACTGATCACTGTAGCTGCTTCATTTCAAGTGGCACATGAACAGATCATCTTTCTCTTTACTACTAGTTATAGCATGAAATAAACATAAATGTATATCAGAAGGTGTTGAAACAAACCATACAGCTTACTGAAACGCATTGTTTCATCCCGCGTTTCAAATGCGGAAGGACGTCTATAAAACAAATATTATAAAACGGATAGTTCCGGTCCTTGATTCTGATTGGCTGAGCGATGTTCAAAGCTGTTGTAAATTACCCTACAAACATGCACCTTTGTTTACGATTGTCTGTTGCTTGGCAACCACTTTGTTGCAACCACAACAAAGTTTCTGAGGAACTACATTGTTTGGTGGAAGAATACTGTTTTTATTAATATCATTACACTTTATTTGCTCTGTTTTATTTTGTGAAACCTTACTATGTATATGGAATAACCGTTTTATAAAAGCAATAAGCCCTGTGAAGCCGTGGTTTACAGTGAATTTATAACAGCTAAGGGGGTTTTAGGCACTCCGCTTCGCGTCGTACCTAACAACGCCCCTTAGCTGTTATACATTCACTTTAAACCACAGCTTCACGGGGCTTATTGCTTTAATAATAATAACCAACTTCAAAACTGTACAGCTCTCATTGAAAGCCATTTATGTCTAGCTTGTTAGTACTTTATCTAACAAAAAAAGTCTAGTGAGGAGCATTTTGCTAAATATATGCATATTGCATTACATATTGATTATAGCTTTACTTAACCTAGTGATGTCTTCATTATTTAATGAAAGTTTGAAAAAATGTCATGAAAACAAGCTTTTATTACAACCACTGTTCAAACGTTTCAACCACAAATTGGAGTATAAACAATGAAATCAATTATATCATTTCAAGTTGGTATAAAAACTGCCTTGTGTGCAATTTAAATGTTTGTGTACAACTCATGTTGATTATTAAATAAATTTGATTAATATGTTGACTATTAAATAAGTTATATTTTCAGTTAAGAGTTTTGTGTTTGGGCTAAATGAAAACTTTAATTTGGTTCAATCTCTAATAGTTGGTTAATGATGCTTTTGGGCAAAGAATAAGCCCGTAAAATCTTTGTCATATCTTAGTGTGCTTGACATGAATGTGTATGCACTATAGAGAACATGTTAAGAGGCCATTAGTGTTTGTGAGGTTATTAAAGTGAGGACAGTGTGCTTGTCTTATGGGAATCTGCATTGCACAGCTTGTTTTTGGTGCGAGTGTGTGTGGAGGCTGTGTGTGTGTATGTGTGCAGTGATTTATAGTGTGCACTTGTGTGTATGTTGCGCATGTTGCTCTCACAGGACACGACAAAACACACAAGGGCGGATGAGCGTGCTGACCCCACGGTCATACCTCATTACCAGCACAGAGAGAGAGACACACAGAGAGACTGTCATATATAACCCCAGCAGAGCATCAGGCAAACTGACAAGCAAATGTCTCTCTCTCTCTCTCTCTGAGTAAGGGACAGTGGGCAGAGAGGGAGATGGGCTGAGAAATGACCTACAGCCAGAGAGCACAGGTAATCAGTCTCACACACATTCCCTGCAGGACGACCATTCAGCCTGCCTCATACTACACACACACATATATATAGGATGACATGTTCAGTGTCAAACCTTTAATAGACCAAGGTCCCTCAACAATATAGGCTATATGAGACATACAGAAGGTCATGTGTGCAGAGAAGATCGCATACTGTCCTCAAAACACCTCTCCTACGGTCTTGTGTGCAACAATTTCACTGCTAATTCAAACAGGCATTCATGCAATTAATGTGCTACAGCAATAAAGGAAAATCACAGTGATAGAAAAAAAAGGCATTAAAGGTGAAAATATTTTCTCTTATCCCAGTTTAATGTGCAAAGACAACTTGAAGTAATCAAAGATTGGTTTCAGAAAGTGTAAACACTGTAGCACTGTACCGATTCCTTAAAAAAACCTATATTAAAATTATATTAATACAATACATAGGTTTCTGCATTTGTTGTTTTTAGTGCTTTTGTTTAATGTTTGTGCTGACACACACCCCTGACGTATTTACAGTAGATATCACGTGACACTGGCTCAACCAATGGCATGAGTCAGGGGAGGGGCTGCATGTTTGTCTGACCAATAGCAGATCTGGAGTGTTTGGGAAACCTGTTGAAAACAAATAACATCACCAAATACACAAAATAATGTTCTTTTTAGCAACATCATATGACCCCTTTAAACTACACTTCATCTTTAAGTAGACTGATCTGGATCAGAAAGTTTCTCTGCTCTGCTGCATTTAAACCAGTTTTTATAGTTTCAATAACCCAAGTCAGCACAAATACGCTACTGTTCAAAAGGTGTTGTTTTTTTTGTAAAGAATCTAATACTTTTTGTTCAGCAAGGATGCATTAAATTGATCAAAAGTGACAGTAAAAACATTTATAACATTACAAAAGATTTTCTATTTCAAATAAACGCTGCTCTTTTGAACTTTCTATTCGTTAAGGAATCCAGAGAAATAAAATGCATCACAGTTTCCATAAAAATGCGAAGCAGCAGAACTGTTTTTGGATATTTATTTAACCAACATTCAAAATAACCAGAAATGTTTCTTGAGGATATCAGCATATTAGAATGATTTCTGAAGGATCATGTGACACTGAAGACTGGAGTAATGATGCTGAAAATTCAGCTTTGCGTCACAAGAATAAATTAAAGATTAAAATATATTCACATTAAAAAAAAAAAACAGTTCATTTAAACTGAAATAATATTTCACATTATTCACATTTGTACATGTGAATACCAAGATGCCTGATCATCTGGAAAACCTTGCAATCCAAGTTTAATGAGATTCTCATTTGTTTGCCGCTCTATTATATGTTCCTTTTACTTAGAAACAGCAATATTCCCAGCTCAGCGTCTGTCTAGAGGGCTGGTTTTATTGGTTGCACCTCAGCGGTACAAAAACAAATCATCGTTGCATTGATTCAGACCTCAGTGAATTTAGTGACAGTATTTTCAGACCAGCTGTTTGGATTCAGCTT